ATATATATATATATATCTAAATTAACCTTCATCATATTTTACTTTGATTATCGGTTGTAAAATATGAAAATTGATTTTTCTATTGCATTTTAAATTCCAACTCTCTAATAATTGATTGTCTAATAATACAATCAACTTTTGCATATCAAAATATGTGTTTAGATTGGTGGAGCCATGATATTTTAAAACAATAAATAGTTAATTTTGTGGTAAACTCATCATATTATTTTGTATTGAGTTAATCATCTATACACTGGCAGTGTAAAATTTTTTATACTGACAATCAATCATATCTTTTAAATTATTTTATTTTATTTTTATTTTATTAAATAAACAAATAACATGACACTATTAAAAGATATAATTGGTTATCAGTATAAAAAAACTTTACATTGACAATGTATAGATGATTAACTTTTTTTGTATTTATTATCATTTTCTACCATCAAATAAAACATGCTAATCGATTTAGTAAATCAACAATTCATTTTGATAATTAACAAATTCATTTATATGTGAAGTTGTGTTACGAGTAATATAATATTTTACTTATATGTTTGTTCTCATTTTCTCTCTTTCCATAATACTTCAATCATCTAAGTCATCTTCTATTGGTACTTGGAAGCGTGGAACTAGAATCGCAAATTCCAGGAGCAAAGTCAATTCGGAATCAGGTTATGAGAAAACAAAATCAACAAGAATAATTAGTGGAATTTATTCATTTTAGACATGTAAACAAATCAAAAGATAAAACAAAGAAAAAATGGATGGAAGAGTACATTGTTGGAGATATGCAGACAAGAAGACTAAGCCAAAGATACATAAGAAGCTCCTATTGGTGATCGATCATGGGTATGTAGAGAACCATGCTAAGGTAACCATATAATAATAATTGTGGGGATCATTTTTTGTGGTCTCAATGCACATGGATCAGCCTCTATAGTCAAGCACTGATCATGTCACACAGCTAAGCCAATACCCTTTATCACGTGCGTCATGCACGTGCATCATGCAATTGCAATTGGTAGCATTGTGTTAAAGTGGCGGTACCCTCTCTCTCACTGTTCTTTTGTGTGGTTCTGATTATCAATACAGATTTTCTTTTTGGACCTTTCAACTTGATGCTCAAAGATGTATAAAGTATAAACATTTAATGAAAAGGTATAAAGAATTGAGATCACCGAAAAGAACACACATTAATTATTTGCATTAGAGACGCTTTACTCAATGATGCTACTAAATGTTACAAGAGTGCTAAGCAACCACACCCACACTCTTCTAAACATTCTTTTTATGATTACTTAAAAAATTTAATCACCTGTATACTATTAGTGTAAAAAAAATTTACATTAATAATTAATTATATGTTTTAATTATATTATGTCACTATAAATATATTTATTTTTAACAGTGACATGACACAATTAAAAGATATAATTAGTTGTTAATATAAAAGAAATTTATATTGGTAGTGTATAAGTGATTAACTCTACTTAAAAATTGTTAGTATAAATTATAAGAGGGATTTATTAAAGAGTTGGACTCGTTAATTTTGTACTTTTTAATAAAAAAAAGGGCCCATAATAGCGTCGAAAATGTGTTATTATCGATTCTCATATTAGATAAGACATTATCATATGGGTCCTGCCATGCACAAGCGACGTAATAGCACTCCACAAGTCAATTTCATTACTGTCACACTTCAATTCTATACATAGTGATAATAAAAAAAACAAACAAACACTACTATATACCTTTGTGATAATATATAATATTGACACAGTTAAGACATTGTAATAATAGATCATGTAATTTTTTTAATTTTAGTATATAGATTGAGTGCGTTTAAATTTATTCTCTTTTAATTAAAGAAGAAAAAAAGCACAATTATTCGGCTTTTTCACCATTGTGGGGTCATTTTGTAAGTTTTTTACGTAAATGGGGTTCTTTTGAAAGTATTTACGCCTTTGGGACTGGTTATAACGGTGTCGCTATGGGCTATAGCGACACTAGTGACACGTGGCATTTTTTAAACTCCACGAAAGCCATGAAAGCCATATTGATAGTGTCGCTACAGTCTATAGCGCCACAAAATAGCTTCACTAAAGTCGCTATAGCCTACAGCGCCACATATTTAATATAAAAAAAACGATTTTAGAAATAAATTAAAATGTGATAAAAATAATTTATTTAATAATTTTAAAAAAAATAAAAATATAGTGGCGCTATGGCCTATAACGACACTGTGTCGCTATAGGCCACAACGCCACTTATTTTAAAAATTAAAAAACGTAAATAAAAAAATAAATATGTAAAAAATAAAGAAAATTAGAAATAATTAAATATATAAATATATATTTTTATTATATTCATAAATAAATTAAAATGTAATAAAAAATCATTTATTTAATAATTTAAAAAAAAAAAATAGTGTCGCTAGCGACACCACAGCGACACTGGACCCCTCTTCTTCTGCTTGCAATCCTCGCAAACCCTCTTGGAATGAAGCTTTTGCTTCTTCGGGTATGTACTCAATTTTTTCCCCCACAAAAAGTTGCGTGCTTTTGTTCCAGATCTGTTCAAGTTTCTCTTTTTATTACCTATTCCTCTTTCATTTTGCTGAAATAATTAATCCAAATAATATTTATTTTTATTTTTATTTTTATTGAATAATTAATCCGACAATTTTGATCTCTTTTGTGTGTTCGTTTTTATCTTTAAATAAATTATACAGTACCCAGCACGTTTTAAATAATAAAGAAATTTTAAAACAACCCAAATAATATGTAATCGTTTAAAAATTATATAAAATTAAAAAATTACACAAAACATACATTTATAAATATAATCTTATGTTAAAATGAATAATAAAAAATTAAGTTTGTAAAAAATAATTTCAATGAATAATTTAAAAAAAAAAAACAAAAAAAAGCTTGTGGCGCTATGGCCTATAGCGACACAGTGTCGCTATAGGCCATAGCGCAACTTATAAAATTAATATAATTTAATTTATAATTAAATTTGTACAGAAGTTAATTTTAGTTTTTTATAAATATATAATAATTAAGTCAGTTTGTTATTTTTATTTTTACATTTCTATTATTTTCGTTTTTTTTTTCTTATAGAGTGTCGCTATGGGCTACATCATCTTCGTTGAGCCATCACCCGTGGTGGTCCAGCCTATAGCGACACTAATGTGGCTCATTTCCAGTCCAGCTTAGACAAAAAAAAGGGCCACGTGTCACTTGTGTCGCTATGGCCCATAGCGACACCGTTGTAAACAGTCCCAAAGGCGTAAATACTTTCAAAAGAGCCCCATTTACGTAAAAAACTTGTAAAAGGACCCCACTTTGGTCAAAAAAGCCAAATTATTCGAGATAATTATATAAACTTAAATATGCTTATAATAATATAAAATGAGTGACTTTTGATTTGGTATGTATAAAGAGT